ATTTTTACAGTCTTTATTTTACAGTTAAAATATATGTTTATCATATAAACTCTAATGTTACATCTAATCGGGGATCCCTTTAAAACAGAAAACTCCCTGGTCTTTGTTTATTAAAACAATATTATTTGAACTCTGATATTTCTTCGTCTCTCTCTTATAGGAACTAAAATTATCTATAGAAACATCAGAAAATTCCCTGCTGTCTGTGTTGTTAGCCATTGTAGCAAAGCTCTGTTTACATACAGACATTCCCCTTTGACATCACTTCCTGTTACTTCACATACAAATATCTCAACAACTGTTCATCTCAGTGGTGTGAAATTGTTTTTGCAATATGTTATCCATGTCATCTTTACAAAAGTGCAATCACATTTATCACAAAAATGTAATGTCACAGGCACTTTAACATATAAATATAAAGTGATGTAAAATGATCATTTTGGATGAGGGCAAAACAAGAAAAAGCAATTATCTTATAGAGTCCAGTACCAGCTCAGCCATGAAGCACAAACATTATGTTGAAAAGTCTATTTTAAGCTGGTCCATTTGGTTAATCATCCTGCATGACATCATCATCATCATCATGACGATGATGATGAGCTGTGCAGCACATTATGAAGATGATGACTGCACAGTATTTGTATTTCTATCCTTGTTAGGACCGTACATTGACTTCCATTAACCTCTGTAGCCTAACCCTGACCCAGAACCAATGATCCACTGTGGTAGCACTAAGGTTGGGCAGAAAATACAGCAGTATATGGTATCACAGCAACAGGAGTCAAAAAATGAGTTTGCCTCTTATTGTGTCGCACAGATTAAAAAAAAGTCAATTTACATCTTTTTAGGGTTTTAAGTTTCAAAATAATCTGACTCTTACCATTCTCTTATCTATACTACTGCATGCTTTTAGTGAGGAATGTGTTTGTGCCGATAGTGCACTTATTTCCTCCTCTGCGGTGAGGAGCTCGCAGGTCTCCAAATATAAATAAATAAATTAAAATAAAATAATTAACTTAAGAAATCCTCAGTTGGGTGGTCCCTGAAGCTGTCAGTCAGCAACAACCGGTCCATCTTTTCAGGAGCCAGTGAGTAACACTCGGGGGTTGAGAGATGCGACAGACAATAATTTGAGGTGGTCAGACCACGTCAGTAATGTTATGAGTCATGTTCTGAAAGAGCCCAGTTTATGTCCCAGTTTTCATGGCAGCCTTGTGGTAACTTGGCTCTTCACCTCACATGACTCATCCTGTCATCATTCTTTACTGTCACCATATTTTGATACTGCAGTAAAACAGAATACCTTCATACTGTCCTAACATATTATGACTGATCAATGCTCCTGAAAAGGACAACTGGTCCTGACAACATAGGTGTTTGTATCAGAAACGGTCCTGAAAAAAGGTAACAAAAACACAACGCACGCATGCACGTACGTACGCATACACACACACACACGCACGCACACACACACACACACACACACACCTATATAGACACTTACTGGTGAGGACTCCTCCAAAGAGAGGGCCTAAGACGCCCATGAGAATGATGGCGATGGACATTAGCCGAGCGATCTTGTGTTGGCGCAGAGCGGCGAGGGAGAGCAGAGCTGCAGGCAGGTGGAAGATCAGTGAAGAAACCGCCGTCCACAGGAACACGCCACACCACATACCTGGACCAGAACCACAACAAGCGGTCAGACACCTTCCAATGCAGGTAGAGATCCACGCAGGAAAACAGCGTCATCACTAGAAACTAAAACATATCACTAAATCACTGATGGAACTCCAGCTTTCTGCTGTTTCTCTCCTCTGAGCAGAAAATGTTTTACAATTATGTAAAAATAATGTTGCAAGAAAATGATTTCTGTTTAAAAACATGTTCATAATTTATTAAGGTTTAGTTTAAAATGTTGCAAACTGCATGATCTTGTTAAAAACAGGATTACTGTTTACACTATGGAGTTACAGTGGTTTGCAAAAGTATTCATACCCCTTGAACTTTTCCATATTTTGTCACATTACAACCACAAACATAAATATATTTTACTGGAATTTAATGTGAAAGACCAACACAAAGTGGTATACAATTGTGAAGTGGAAGCAAAATTTTACATTAATCAAAACATTTTTTACAAATAAAAAACTGAAAAGTGCGAC